AAACAGCTTTGCTACAAGGTGTATCCTTGTTCAAGGACCCGACAAGTTTTTTAACTTGTCCACTATTCGTTTTAGCTGCTGCTCTAACCATACAGAATGCGCCAAGCAAGCGTCTATTTCCTCAGTTTACCAGTACAAGGCATATCGAGCTAATGCTGGCGATGTAGAAGACCTCAGTCTCGGAGAGCTTCTCATGGCAGACGACAGCCCCGCATCCTTGCCAGACCTGCAGCAGTCGCCAGCTACCAGATCGGTTCCTGGTGCACAAGCGTACGTGAACCGATTACTGGTTCGAGTCAAGAACATTGCAGATCAGAAGCAGGTCAAACTCACACAAGGACTTACCTCCCACTCTTTTCGGCGAGGAGCTGCCATGCACGCCAACGATGGAACTCTTGCAGAAAACTGGATTATAGAGCGGGGCGGTTGGCAGCTTGACCGCGTCAATAAGGCGTTTGGGTACATGTTGGGTACAACGCAGGCAGATCAGCAAGTTGCGCGTGTCCTGAGCGGATGGAAACCAAAAGAAGGCGCACGTCTTCCTTCGTTGCGTATCTTGGAGCCGTCTGTGCTGTTCCGCGCCCAAGCACTGCATGGTCTACTTTTCACGAGCTCCCTGGGCTTTGCAGAGCCTTGCATGAACCTAAACGAAGACGTAGCAGAGGTCTTGTCAGCCACCCTCATCATGCACTACCCCGACATGCTGCTGCTCGCACGCGAAGGAGCACTGGTTGCCCGCATTCGGGCGGCCATGTCAGCACGAGCCATCGGGGAAGCGGAAGTACTTGCATGGAGCAGCACAATCCGCCGTGCTTTCATGCCACCATCAGCGATAACCAAGCCCAGCGTTAGCGACTCTCACTCTGCTGAGGTGTTAAGCCTCATGAAGCGCCAGTCCGAGCAGATCAGCGTTTTAATCCTGCAAAATCAGCGCCTAGAGGAACGACTGTTAGCTGTAGAGGCGAAATTGCACTCACCGTCGGCTCCAGCCAAAACTGTTGCGGGTTGTGTATCACAGCCTGACCAACAAATTGCCATCCGAACTGTTCGTCCGAAGAAGAAGGGCTCGCAGTCTCTTGCAGCAGTCTGGTACGAATGGTTTACGGCCGAGCCCCGCGATTATGCCTCGCGCTCTGTGAAGAAAACGACGCTGTACGAGCTTAGACACACCGCAGGCTACATGATGCTTTTCTTACCTCATGGATTTTCACTTGATGCTTCGTCTCCTGCGTTCAAGAGTGAGGTGGTCGCGCTTGGTGAGAAAGCGCAAGTGAGCACGCGGGACTTCTTGAAGACGAACGGGTCCTCAGCAGCAGCAGCGGGTACGGCACTGAAAGCCCTTCGCAATCTACACAAGGCTGGAAAGCTTGACGCACATATAACCCAGTGCACGAGCGTGCTGAGCGTGGTGACGCTGTCGATCCAACACCACGTCGGCGCTGCCAAAATTCATTCGTAACAAACCCCCCCCAAGCGCTGAACCTGTAGTACACATAGTACAGTTAAGTAACAGCACCAGATCTCACCTTACGCTTTGAACAGTATAATTCCTGGCAATTGATAACAGCTTCCGCACTAACGCATTATCTTATATTACAAACAAAGCTGCAACAGCAAGTTAGAAACGACATGCTCACTCATGTTATGCAGCAGCAAAGACTTACCATATTTAATACTAGTGTGGCCTCGATGTAGGTCGTAGATAGTCTCGGCCGCATCCAGCAGCATTCCGCTCGCCCTTACGGGTTATTTCACTTCACATGATTCATCTACGGGGGCGGCAACGGCGGGAGTAGTGAGGCGTGAGTCCCTGGTAGTGATGCCGCGCGCGTAGAGGTGCGACCGAGGCCTTGAGGTCGCAGGAGGGCCGTAGAATTGCGCTCCGCCCTCACCGCTGCGCGCTCGTGGCCGTGGTTTGTAGAATGGCTGTGGGCCCTCAGAGAGAAGGGATTTTTTAATTTTGTTTTATTATGTGTAACACATGTACCGCGCAAAGTCCGATTTTTAACTGGCAGATCGTACCGGTATCAGGTTGGAACCCGGTCGGACAGTTGGAATTTTTACGGTATGGACATGTAAAAGTATGGTACCTAAAAATGGGTAGAGTTTATGGTAAAGTTCACGGTAAGCTTACGGGACGGAGTTTAGTGACTAAACAAGATCAAGGAGAAAGTGTAGACGTCCTAGAAGCTCTAGTTTACAATAGTCACTTTTCATTTTTGCCGAACAACACAAAAGCTTCCTCAATCTATTACATGTACCAGTACAGTATGAACACACTCAACAACAAATAATTAAGATGGCGAAGAGCTGACACTCCTACATTTTGGTCCCATTCTATTCCTTTTGTTAAATAGCTTAGGTAAATTAAAGGGTCGATCTATGGTGACAAAAAAGCAACAGCAGCAACCAGGACATGTAGCAACTGGTCACGACGAATATAACGCTCAACCGGATGGCTTTGCAAGGCAGAACGCAGATTGTGTTAAAATATTAATAATAATAGTTTCAGACTTAGGCAACGAAAACTTTGATTACTTGAACTACTGGTAAGCTCCTTTACCTGGTACATGTACCAGGAAAAACAAGAAACTACGAATTGTTTCCTCCCTACTTATCGCGCATACTTACGTATTAAGTACCCATTTAAAATTTGCTTGCTAGACACCTAACCCTTCACATATTTTTTTTACTATTAGTAATGAATATTAAAACAAGCAAGAATGCCAAAACTGTTGTTTAATACATCTACAATCCTCTCCGTAGGGTTCGCGAACCTGTTCACTAGCAGAAATCTTACCTATGTGGTAGTATACTGAAGTATTATACAAAGCTAGTAGCTAAGGAACTTTTTTACGACCCAATAAAAGCGAAACATTAATAGCATGACGTGATATAGTGCACCCTTTGATAAACTTCTGTATACAGTACACTACATGTACTCCACATGCAAAAGAGGTTGGCACTGTTGTATCTGAGTGCGAAAACCTGATGTGTTGGCACATACACCCTTGCGAAAACAGGTGCACTACTGTTCACAAAGGACTGTACCAGTACATGTATTTTCAAGCTGGCAGCTTTGGAGTTTACAAATCACAAGTTGTAAAGGCGCTAATAAACTCTACATGCATCAGTAAAAAACGCATAAGTGGGACCTACGCATTACTACCGTATCGTGATCACAGGGATCATCATGGTGACAACGATTCAATATCACTGTGATGGTGTCACGACGTACAGAAGACCTTCTCAAATATGCGCGGTAGGGTCCTATCTTAATATTACACAGGTTATGTAATATCGAAGATACAGTTAGTACAAAAACGTTTTCAAGACGATTAATGATCAAATAATATTCGCTCTTACGGGTGCACATATTGAGAGGGACTTTAGAGATGAAAGCCAACATTGCTGCTGTCGCAGTTCATCTCACTCCGCAATTCACTCAGCAAAAGACAAGTCGCTCGCCCACATCGACGTTTAAAGATACTGACTGCACTGCAAATACAGTATGCGACTCACGTATATGGGGTGGTGCTTGCGGTCACTCTTCACGCCAGCAGCACCGCAATCACAGCGACCAAGGACAGCGACAATATGACCGGGAAGTACGTATCTGCTGAAGTTGTGAACGAAGATGACGGACGGTTGCTGCGTCGGGTCGAGCCGCTTGCATCGCACGAAGATGGTATTGAAGAAGAACGATTCCTGGGGGCGTTGAAGAAGCTAATGCACTTGCGTTCTGCGGCAAAGCTGAGGACTAACAACTACGAGGCAGCCAAGGTTTATAATCGAGCGGCTAAATTTCTGAAGAAACAAACCTGATCGCTAACTGTACGTTGCTATGTCGAGAGTACCATTTTGGTTGGGTAGGATGAGGTGTCAGTATGCCATGTTGGGCATGCATCGTACAATTAGCATGGCCCAGAGCTCTGTTTACAACGCGGCCAATAATGCCAATTACCATTATTGGTACTTGCTAGCCCAATGCATGTACCCACTTCCTTTTTAATTGATACCGATCAGACTGATCATCAGCCCAGAATTATCCCGCCAGACCGTTTTGGGAGTTAAGGCCATGAGGACATAATCTATTCTATCGGAGATGCATAGTGGCAAATTTCACAAGTGTCTTTAAGCTTGCGCACGAACAAACTTTCATGTTTTCCCTTTTATTGGGTGAAAATGTTTTCTAAAAATTACCCCTCCAAATCCCATTTAAGTTATTTACTGTTCGTGGAAAACGGTTTCATCGCTTTAATCGGTAATTTAACCACTCATTCATCGATGCCGTACCATCCGACATGTACGCTGAGAGCCACGTATACAATGCTACTACTGATTGCATAAGTACTGTACATACCCTTCCAATACGAGGTCCGTCGAATATTTTGTGACTCGATTTCCGTGCTGCCATGCTAGCTGCGGTACAATCTTGAACCTTCTCACTCTTCAATACTCTCAACAAGCCACAAGTCGACTGCACAAGCCCAAACACTGGTACAAGCGCCCTGCCTACGCGAGAGGTTGTGTTCCGCCACCGGTTTTACCGAGACCTCCTAAGACACTACAAAGGAAAATCTTCAAAGCTTGGTTTGGGCCTCTGTCGCTTGACCGCTGGTGGCCTAGTCTTCGACAAAAATAATGCGAAGAAGACGCAGCGTGGTCCCAGGGCTAACATTTCCCCCGCTGGAAGGTAACATTTCAAGCAATTCGTCGTGATCAATTGCTAAAGGAATGTATTAGTACCAAGGTAGTATTTCTGAGATGCATGTACTACAGTTTAATTAAAAACGTATGAACGTATTTCTTTAGTACTACTACAGTATATTCAAAACGCATGAGCCCAACAAGAGTACGCATTATGGACCTTCACGTAAACAATTTTCGTCAATTACCGGTCTTGGCTGATCAAGAACGCCGTCCCTTGCATTCACCACTGTCCTCATACCTAAGAATTCAATTTTTGATAATGAAGTTCGATCGTAAAACACCCCAAGATCAGTAAACTATTCCGTAGTATTGTAGCAAATAGACACTTCTAGAAGAAGACAGCCCGACGATTACCATTTGAGTCTTGTCTGACAGCAGGAGCAGTCACATCTTCCTGGTCTTGTAGTCGGTTGCTCGCTAGTGAGATATCTCCGCCAGCGATCAGTTGAGTGAACGCCAGCGGGTCGTGGTCCATCGCATCGATAAGTCTCGGAAATTTCGTCAACACAAGCTCCGTCAGCAATTGCTCAGCGTCGCCCATGCGTCTTTGCACCACATAATGATGCAGCTGCCGACTCAGTGAGCCCGACGGCGAGACCTTAAGTCCGTTCGCGGCCCGATCCGGGTCAGCTCCGTCTCGACCTGTTGCCCCTCGAGTCGCCCGCATATACTTCTGCAACAGAGCCGCCTCCTGCAGCTCATCTGCCGAGTAAATGTAGATTCCAGCTTCAAATCCATTGACTTCTTGCAACAATGACGCTTGCTCTCGCGCCGATAACGTATTAGTCAGGTCGGCAACAGGCTCTGCAGGTACACACTGAGGCATAGCGGATGTCGACGACAGTCTGTCGCCCTCTTGGTCTTCGTTGTCAGTGAACGACAACGAGCGCATGTCTAGTGCACGGTGCGCAGCGTCCGAGAAATCACTTGGCATACTCTCACGTCGTGACGTTGATGCGTCAGCTTCTGATGGTTGTGGCAAGTGACTGGCTTCACTCGGAGTGAGTTCGAATGCAAGCTTAGTAGCGCTAAGTTGTGTCGATGGACGTACGTCGTGCAGTGTACTAAACGCCGATGGCGGTGCAGACATCGCCATAGCTGGCAGCGAAGACCTCGTGTCGCTCAGATGATAACTTTGCGTACCATCGCTACTGGGACGCCGTCGATCAGCACCACGACTGTGTGAATGGTACTCCTGCTGGTATGACGCACGTGTAGCGAACGTATTGTTGCGCTGCATCGAAGCTCTCCGTTGCAACATACCGTTAACGATACCGTACGCAGACTGGGCACCAAGAACGTGGATCCAGCCCACCAAGTCCTGTTCAGACTGGGCACCGAAATAATACGTGCGCTGGCCAGCACTAGGAGGAACGACCTTGAAGAAGTGTAAACACTTGTTCCTTGCGTTCACCTCGTGTGGTTCACATATCTCCACTGTGATACGCCGCAAGTTTACAACACCGAGCGGCGTCGCATCCGACATTCCGTGATAGTACATCATCTTGCCTTCGCGTGCTACAAACCATCGCTTCTTCCAGTTCTTGACGAAGCCTCCCTGTTTATACAGCCAGCCCTGCATGGTAGGCGTTGATTCTTCGGGTTTCAAGGAGGCTTGACGTTGGATCTGCTTATCATAATAGGGCTGAGACGGTACGGTCATGCGACGTGGTTGCGGCGCTGACAGCGGAGGCGCCGACTGCGGTCTCACAGTCCGAGTCTGCTCTACTTTATCGTCACGAATGCTACTGCTACTGTCTGACTGCAAGACTGAAGACGAAGACGTAGACTTTGGAGGAAACGGATCCCCATTCTGATCCAGCATCTCCACGTGACAAACCACCTGGAAATTATCCGGATATCGTTGGTTTCCTGTGGCTTCATCCACTTCCACCTTCGGCAGGCGATACAAATTGCTCTTTATAAAAAACAATTAATTTTTGCATTAGAAACATATTGTCAATAATTGCAGTAACAGTACGGACGGCACTTACGTAATTGTGGAAAAAATCGGTGTTGAATGTAAAATGGAACATCTTGACCATGTGCTTGCCCAAAATATTGGTCGTGTTGGCGTGGAAGCACCTCACCATCACGTCGCCCTGCACCTCTGCATTTACCTATAAAAGAAAATTATTTTAATCAAAATAAATACTTATTAATTGCCCCCACTAATTGTCACGTACCTCGAACATGATCGATCCGTTTGGGTCTGCCAAGTAGGTTTCGAATTTGGGTCTTTGCCACGAGCTATTGTAGAGTAAATGGGGCTGATGATGTTGTGACGGGGCTGGTAAAACCTGTAGAAACGGGGTACATCCTCCTCTCGGTGGAGCCTCAAAATCGGGCACTCCGTTGAGCACAATACTCTGCAGTAGCATCTTCTTGGCTGGTCGCAGTGGCGGGATCTGCGCCGGCATACGTCCCAGTCTGCGTAGTACTTTAATAAAGTAATAAATATACAGTGCCTGACTGGGGAAGCGCACTCCTTGGCCTCTAGCGTTCCAGAAGTCGCGAATACTCGAGTTCGCCAGCTCTCGGAGCTCGCGCTCCTTGCGCAACTTAAAGACACTACCGTAGTAGCCCGTAAGCAGCAAGTAGCACGAGCACACGACACCTGTGCGACCTTTTCCAGCGAGACAATGCACTACGATGACGTGTTTGGGACTTTTGGCTACCCACTCGATCATGTCGTTCATAATGTCCAATAGCAGCTGCAGGGGCGGCGGGTGATGGTCAGGAAAGCCACATTCACTCACACGTCCTTCGAACTTGCTGTAATCGTACGAGCGCTCGCTCAGATTGTAGACGCGGTATGCGTTCGGGTGTCGAGAGTTGAGGAAGTTGGCGACCTCGTTGATGTCGTTACGGTACGTCTTCTCGACGCCTGAGGCTGGGTAGCCCATGGCAATGAGCTTGGGAGTGATGTACGTCAGGTCCAGGTCGAACCCGTCCTGCATGAAACGCACACGCGAGCCGGATACGGCAGCACGCAGCGCCTTCATGTTGACTGAAGAGGTACTGACGGCGAGTCGCCGAATTGGGCAATGAACCTTATGGGCTCGGTTCTCTTCTTCCGGTAGAAAAGGGCTGTGTTTATGTACAGTTACCTGAAAAAGAGCACATAAAACTGTATTGGCGACGAGAAGAATTCAAGGCGAGCGCCCAATGTGATTTTTTATGGGGAAAAATCCACTGGATACACTTGGTGGTGACGTGGCGTGGCGACAATCGAAGTGGCCATGGAGGTGGACATCATCAACTTATGGTCTGTCATTAGTGATCTTGCGCATTTTGAACATGAAAGTGTCGGTGAAGTGTAGGTGCATTGCAACACAACAACAAAACTGTCAAATCCTGTTTGTTTTCGCAGTGTCAAGTGAAAAAAACAAACGAAAAAGATGAAACATTTATTGTTAAATTTTGATTTGAAAATATTCTGTTCATCAAATTTTCACTTTCACCCACCATCATTCTTGCCCCACAAGCTCAGTCATGCCGGTGATGGCGACGTCTTCCTCTGTCGCCGGCGACGCGTCTATGCGGGGCCGTCCCGGCCTCTTTAGCCTACTTTCTCATCAACACCACGCTAAACCCCACGCTTCCACTCCAAACGTCGCAATTTCGGTCCCTTCCGCGTCTCTACGAACTACTGAACGTCACCAACATGGCTCCACCATGATACAGTCGATCTCCAAGTCGTTTAATCCATTCACCGCTCCGTTCCAGCGCTTTCCATCCTCGCGATACTTATGCAAACATGTCTACCAGTCGCCAATGCACTCCAGGGCGCTACAATGCCAACATTCCGTTGTTGCAGCGGACTTCGCTGCTCCCCGGCACAGACGGCACGTTCTGCTCTCGAGCTTCTCCAAGGCGTCGGTGACGGAGTGGTAACAATGCTCTGCAATGAGTTCACAGTATGCAAATATTGTCGTACTTATCTCGTGCTTAATTGTAGGCAATTGGAGCATGTAGGACGCGTGATGGCGACGCTGGCGAGGCAACCGGGTGTGTTCCAGAGCTTGTTGCAGATCTGGGATGCAGGCAACAATTGGGTACTGGTGCAAAATCTACAGCCGGACTGGGTGACCATTAGAGAGCGCTTTACAGACCCAATATCATTCACAGAGGAGAAATTGAGGCACGTGGTGTTTCAAGTGGCTGCGATCGTGGATTTCCTGCACAGTCATGGACTCAGCATGGCAGGCGAGCTGCTGCACTACGACTTGGTGGTTAGTGCTGCTATCGATCTCGTGGGAACTTAAGTTTTTTATCGACAGATATACACGTCGTTGTAGATGGCGAAGGAGCAAGTGACGCTCTTGCTGCACGTGGATTTGATCCTGAGCGGCTGCACTCTTGTGCCGGCAACGAAAAGGAATCGAGACGCTGATATGTACGTGGATCTGTCTATGTTTATTGCTGTAAATTTTGATCCGTGACCAATAATTGCGACTTGCCATTCCAGTGCGGCCATCGGCATGCTGATGTTTCAGATCGCTATGATGCCGCGTTCACCGGTCGGAGAAGTCGACATTAGCTACGTGGAAGGAGCAATCGAAGACCAACTGGACCACTTGTCACCTGCGTGTCGTGATATATTGCTTGACTGTCTGAGTAAGTGATTTTCTTGCTTGCGGTCCGACTGATGCTTGCATGAGTTAATGTGGTTGCTTTGCGTAGCTATGAAACTTAGCGTCCGAGATCTGTTGACGCGGAAATGGTTGCGTCAAGTGGATTTCCTTCACACGAAGAAGAAGAGGACGCTAGCTTCGACGACGTCAGAGACACGGCATGCGCTGTACGAGTCACTGCTCTGGAAGCTGGCTGCACTCTGCATGATGGATTGGCTCAGACAGAATCAAAAAGCCCCCGAAGTGAAGAGTGCAGAGGAAGAAGAAGAGACGGAGAGCTCCCGTCAACGTAGCCGGGTACGTCATCTTCTCTACGCTTCAGTCATATTTCGTATTTATTTTCTAACACGTGCATCGTATCCACAGAGACCTACGCGCCGCATATACACACGATCAAGACTGTACGTTCCGAACGGCGTGCTCCGGAGAGGACCGATCCCCGTCCCCGTACCGGCAGGACATTCAGTTCGTCCTCAAGATGACAGTGAGCAGCGACGACATGTCCACACGCTGCTATCAGACCATCATCTACCCGACGATAGTGGCGCTAAGATCTGGAGAACTTACGACGAGTTCGACTACGAGCTCCCGAGTTTTTATGCCCCCAGAGCGGTGACGTATGACAACTTTGAAGTGGATGATGACGCTGAGCGAATATTGGAAGAGGACAGCGACGGTGGATTCATCTCGCTCCCAACTGAGGAAAAGCGCTCGTCTCTGTCTAAATTTCATGACGGTGATGAGGTTCGAAGTCTCCAAAGGGAAGTTGTTCGCTCACTACAACAAGAACCAACAGACGAACAGGACGAGGATACAGGGCACATGCACACAAGTTATGAGGATGTTTTTAATCAACGGAGAAGTTCGGCTACACGTCAGCAGGAGACATTGGGAGACGACCGAACCGCCTCGCACGATGCAGTTCACTTCAGTGCGTTTGGCCCGCCACAAGTTGCATTACGTGACTTCTTCCGAATTGATATTTGGGCATATTTGAAGCAACAACGTGAGTCGATGCTGGAGCTGGCTCTCGAGCACAATGACGTTGAAACTGGACACCGCGCTCAGCCACTTCGTATTCAACGAGGCACGTTAGTCACCGTGTCAATTGAGCATAGTACTCGCTTCGGAATAAAGGGTGAGGACTGCAAATCCTTCCGCTGGCATGGAGATATTGTCGGTGTATCTTTCGACCTCTACCGCCATACGACGCGATCAGAAGATACCAATGATACCGACGAGCTTTGCATTGCCAAGATCGTAGCTGGAACCAAGGTATCGCTGCTGTACATCCGACTTCATGCACTGTCAGCTCACTGCTATAACGGCACTGCAGCGGGGGTGACAACGTCGTCCGATCTTTCTCTCTTGGATACTCGAATGGAGCATGTAGCACCGAACGTGTTGGACATTCCAGCAGAAGATCTGGAACTCATTCGGCCAATCGGTCACGGATCATTCGGTGACGCCGTGCTTGCACGCTGGAAAAGCACGTCACAAGATGTGGTCGTTAAAATGATGAATCAGGATGTGTATGGCCATTCAGACGCTCTCGCTGAGTTCCAGCACGAAGCAGCTGTGATGAATCTACTTGGAAAACACCCACACGTGGTCGAGCTACTTGGTGTAAGCAACACCGGAGCAGATAAAGGGTCTACACACTCTCAAAGTCTATCTTTGGTGACTGAATATCTGCCGAATGGAAGCTTGGAGGATGTTTTGGGTATCAACGCGCACTCTGGAATTTTATCAGAACAAGTGAGTTTATTTTCGCGAACGATAATGGCGAGAGATGCAGCACACGGCCTCGTCAACATTCACCAGGGCAATTTTCTGCATCGAGATATCGCAGCACGGAACTGCTTGGTAGACGTCGATTTCAGTGTCAAAGTGTGTGATTTCGGCTTGTCTCGACGTCTGCGTGGGTTTAATGGTACTGACGGATCATTCTACTTCGACGATGATCGACACGGCTTCGGTCCGCTCAAGTGGATGGCTCCCGAGTCCATAATACCCCCACATTTGTTCTCAACGTTCTCGGACTCGTACATGTTTGGCGTACTGCTTTATGAGATTTTCAGCGGCCAACCTCCATTCCCGAATTTAACGTCGCGAGATGCAGCGGCGTTGATCTTAGAAGGTCACCACGTCCCCATCCCGAATTCATTACCCTCCACACACCGCCAATTGATGCAGCAGTGCTTCGACGTGCATCCATTGCGTCGTCCATCTATGGATCAGATATACAATACGTTGGATCGATGGGTGCTGCAAGATACAAAAACCCAAGTTGTATAGAAATGGATGGGTTAAATTTGATTTTTAATGTGGGTGCCATGCCGTTGAAGTGGCGCACATTAGATCGCAGGAATGACATGAACAGTCGTTTAATGAGCGGACGCGACGTTATTGCTCAGTAGAGTTTTCACCCTTGAAGCGAGCATTTAAGACACAGGAAAATGAAGACGTCGTGGACAGCTTTGGTCGTGGTGGGCGCTATTGCGCTCGTGGACCCCGTGGACGCATCGTGCAAGTCTTCGTGCCAATCACAGCTCGTGCACTACCGCGAGGAGGCGTGTCAGAAGTGGCGTGAGAGACTGCCACGTCCAGATCTATTCAACCACTGCGGTCAGGGCTTTAACAAGGGCAAGACGGCGGGATGTGAAGGATTCTGCAAGGAGGGTCCTGATATGGGAGTCATGAAGTCGCTGCGATTAGATGCCTGCACTTCGCTAAAGGGTCTGCCGCCCATTGAGCGTCAGCAGGCGTGCCAGGCTGGCTTCTCGGCTGCCTTGGACCTAGCGAAAGACGCAGCTGACCCTGCAGCAGACAAGGAGACAGCGAAAACCGCCGATACGGGTAGCCAAGCCACAGCGACGGATGCTGGAACGGGAGCTAAGCCTGAAGAGACTGGCGACACGAAGAGAAAGGTCAACGTCAAGAATATCATCCCCGAAACAGACCGCAGGGTGAGGTGCTTCAAATTTTACAATACGTATTAAAATTGTACTAATTTGTATTTTGTAGAACATGCTGGAGGACGCCCGCAAAGAGGCTGTGGAAGCCTTTGCGAACGTACAAAATAAGGGGGAGCTCTAAGTGTAGTTACCACGTCTCGATATCAAAAAGATATCTCAGAAGAAGCGCTCAATTCTTCCTTTCATAATTAAAAAAAGCATTTTCGGCCAACTTTCTTTTTATTTGTTTTGCTTCATAAATGTAGCAACACGTGTTTTCTAAATCTAGACGATTCTAATTAGAAGTTGAGTTTGTAAGTCTCGCAATGCTGGAGCGAGCCAAGCACACCTGTTGAAACACCCAAGAAATGAAGCCGGCGACGCATCAAGGAGCCAGCGAAAGTTTTAGGAAGCGGAGTCGAGCCTAGACCAACCATACACTCGATGGTAAAATGTTGCCGAGACGGCTTGGTCGGCGTCCGCTTCTGTCGCGGTACCATGTGTGTAGGAAACGTGTTATAGAGATTCTGGCGGCGGGAGGTGGCGATACCGTCAACGCCTGACGGATATGGGTCCACCAATGCCTTTCCGTTCACGTACAACATTTCCGGATTGTTGTCATCTACCGGCATGTACTGGAGGATACTACCGCAAAGCGTGTCGGGGTGTTCCTTCATATCTTTGTTAGGGGACGACGACACTACACTAACACCCCAAGGCGAGAAGAAATACGGCACACGTACTATCTCCATACTAAGCCAGAAAGTCTCCTTGTCACCGAACGAGTACTTGTAGCGGAATCGTTCTTCCGTGACGAACCAAAGCATGACATCCATTGCTGCTTCACCAACGCGTACCTTGTCAATCAATACAAGCGACGAGTCCATCTCGTGGCAACTGTTGTTGTTGTATGCAAACGACTTGAGTGCGTTCTCGGACGGTTTGGCTTCTCCTGTAATGTTGAATCGCTTGTAGTCGAACGTCGAAATGAGTTTGTCCATGTATTGCAAGTTGCCGTCCATACCGCTCATAAACTTTCTGCAGTTTCTCACCACGCGATCATAGAAAAATGTCGTGCCCGTGGTCCTGTATCCTTTTAAATCACGCAGGACTGCAGGATCCTTAACAAAAATGTCGTCCACATCCACTAGCATCACATGACGAATATCAGTGTGATACATGGCAAGGGGTTTGATCCACCAGCTTCGAAATTGCTTTGCTCTCTTGTCGTTGATCACACCACGTTCAACAAGATCGGAGCATACATCCACCAACTCCAGTCGATCGTCCACACCAAGTAGTAATTCCTTGGATGTGTTTGACAGTTCCTGTTGACCACAATGGTACACTTGAATCAGCTCGCGGTTACCCAAACATCGGAGCTCACGAACGAGTGACAAACCCAATGGTAGCACACCGTCGTGCATGCAAGTTACTACTCCACGGTCGCGACCGACAGTCTCGTCATAACGGACACTGCGTTGATACCACTGCGAGTTCGGATGGGATACGTTGTTTGAAACATCGGAGGCAAGGAACGTCGTCGAGCTGCTGACGGCGACGCTGTTGGCGGTTCCAAAATCGACATCGCCCCTGTTGACAGCGACTGTCATACCCACCATGGTGGTCACTACAGCGAGCACTAACACGGGAATGCATGCCAATAGCTTAGGGGATAATGGAGGTGACGCCACGGAGAATCTGGAGCGATAGAGCAGACGTGCAGCTTCGACATCCGATGGTGAAGTAGTGAAGTCTGGCATAGTGGACTTCGTTTGATCGGCTACTTGTAGGAATTTTTGGACTGACAAGCGATTGACCAGACGCAGGAGATATGTAAAGATCGATAGCGCGGTCCATGCGCACGGCTTCAGAATTGGTGGGAACAAGCACATGGACAGATCTAAACTGAGACCGGCGTTAATGGCCACTAAGTGATCAGCATTTGCTTGATTATTAAAAAATCGAAATTTTCGTATCCCAGCCTGGTTGAAAATTAGGACTACCGAGGCAAGTGAATATTTAGAAAACTTGACACCAAGCATGGCCATCCCTGATGCCAACTGCAACCACGTCAGGAATTCGCACAATAAACAAGGCCAGGGCTCCAAGCTTACCCGCGGTGGCTTTCTGCCAATGCCATCGCGGAAAGGAAGACGAACGCTGTGCATTCGTTGAAAGAACCCCAACGCGCTGTGTGGTAGGCTTCCAAAGTTACAGTGCTCAGCTTGGCCCTTCGCATATTAACGGTCGCTGCAACCAGCCACTTCACTAGCTAAACACTGCGCTACTTGGCGTGTAGTCACCTCTTGTACTGTCCACAGTAAAGCGGGTTACATGCCCACTAGCATCCTCGTGACATGCGATCAGTACGGCATAATCTTTTCATTATTTCTTATGAAATCATACACATATTTATTTCTTCGATTACCTGGATGTTATTAATAATTTATTTGCTTAAAGAATCATCCGACATAATTTAAGAAAAACACCTCTTTATCATTATGTACTTCTCACAACCAACCATGATTTTTCACTACTTAAAATCTCTGCTACCAGCACTTCTCTAAGCCAGCTATACGACACAGCTTGCTCACGTCCTAATTTCATAATTTGAGCAACTCGAACAAAGCCCCTCGCTAAGCTACTATGGTCCTTGCCACGCTCCCTCGCCACGCCACCTTCACGCCAGCCCAGGTTACTGGGCTCTACATCCGACCGTGCCGTCCCGCCGAGGATGAGATCGTCTCGGAGTACTTCCGCTGTCGTTGTGGCACGATTCAGAAGCAGACTCGCCGGAATGGCTACTCCAACCTAATGCAGCACGTCCGTCGGGAACACCTGGACTTCGAGGCTGTTATGCTAACTGCAACTACCGCCGAGACAGGTTCGCTGCTAAATTACGTTCGTCGGTCAGCCCTCAACATATTTGGCTGGTTCGACTTGATTGTCAAGAACGGTCTCCCACTCCACTTCTGTGAGAATACCGCTGCTAGAAGGTAACCATCGTTTATCCAGATTTAAATATGTAGATTATATTTAGGCTAGCTAAATTTTGTGCTACTCAGATACTCTAATTTGGACCCGATTTGTGTCGAGACACTTTAGCGAGCAATGGAAAGTCTCACTCTGATTGTGGAGCGTCACATCGCGTCCGAGATGCCTCAGCGATTTGGTCTCATCCTGGACGGCTGGAGCCACGCGTCGGGGCATTTAGTCTCCGTCTTTGCTTGCTACGATGTGGACGGCGTCGTAAAGACCCCGCTCCTGTGCATGGCACCACTGCTGAGCGAGTCGGATGTCGATCTCTCTGCGCGCGGACACTACGAGTTCCTAGCTGGCATGCTGCCCCGCGACTTTGGTAAGCAGCTGGATGCGTGTTTGTTTCTTGTAGGGGACAGCTGCGCCGCTAACCAATTACTAGCGACGCTCATTGGCGTGCCGCTAGCTGGCTGTGCTTGCCATCGCCTGAACAGGGCAGCTCAAGTTGATATATAGCACTATGAGACGACCTATACGGTGTTCAAGCTCTGATGGTGCGCCTACGTACACTCAAGCAGTCGGCTAAACTCAGGTACTTACTGTTTTTGGTATTTATTTGTAAAATATGTTGCTAGCTTTATAGGTTTTATTCTGTATGGCTATATATATTGCAGGTCGAAAACCTCCCATCGTCCTATAATTCGACAGGACACACGATAAAGCTCAACGTTCAGCATGGCTCACCGGTATTTCAAACTTCTGGAGCACCTCGACCCCACGGACGACGCCATTGTGGACGTCCTCCCCGCCCCATCCTGTAACAAGCGTCTTCTTTTGCTGCTAAAAGACCCAAAAAAGGTTGAGTCCGTGTCCAAGGCACTTCAAGCTACAAGTGTAATATTGCTGGACGTGCGTGTGTGGTTCGACGGTTTAACTGCCCTAAAACCACATTACGCAAGGTTTCTAGGTACGTTATTACGATTTTTTCTACTAGCACGCTGATTTATTAACAAATTTATTTGTGTGACACAGGACCACGCGCGGACATTGTGCACAGCCCAGACTTCGAGTCGGCGTGTGTGCGTGTCCTGGGAGGAAGCCAAAGACTAACGAGGGCCGAGAAGGCAGTGCTGCAGCCCTTCCGCTGCCTGGAAGAAGAAGAAGAACCTGCACGCACTGCAGCAGAAGCGGAAGACAGTGAAGATGAAGGCTCATTTATGGCGAGTCTACAAAAACGTCGCCGTTCAGCAGCGGTTCAGCCGCGGTACGACCTGCTTAGCTGCATTCCACCTACTTCTAACCTTGTTGAGAGGTTTTTAGCGTCGTCAGGACGACGTACGGGCAAGAGCGCCACAGCTTGCAGCCTATTACATTAGAAATGTTGCTGTTCTTACGCCAAAATGGTGAGTATTGGTCAGCTCAGACTGCCGACGAGGCAACTCGCTAATTATTAACATGGTGTTAGTTTGCTTTACATTATGCTCTTATTTATTGTTTGCTCGCAGTACATGACATAATGTATGTGATGGCACTAGCTGCCCAATGCCATTATCTATGGTTAAGGAGGGCTCCCGTTATATAGCAATGCCATAATCGGTAGCCCTGCATGCGATCACCAAAACGCCGGATATGACTTCAATTCAGCAAGTCGACGGGTTTTAAACCCTCTGCCCAGCTGCAGCAGCCATCCCGCTCCGCACACACGTACATTGACCAGTGTCGTGCAGTCAGTCTCCAGAGCTGTACCTCTTACAAAGAGCAAACCTCCAAGGCACATGTCCAGACATCCTCGCTTTTCTTGGTACGATCTTTCTAGCTTCCTGCATCCGCCAGCACATTCGAGCACAGGGTTTTCAGCGGCCATACCTTCAGCGCTACTGACGAGAAGAATTTCAACTTAGACAGCTCTGATGGGATCCGCTGCTACTGGCACGACATTAGAGTGGTGCCGAAACTAATGTCGAAGCGGGTCAACGGTGGTGGAAGCGTCATGATTTGGGCGGGTGTGTCGATGTACGGCAATACGGATCTAGGTTTTCTAGAAGAAAGGCAGGACTCAGCTAAGTACACGGAGACGTTGCGAGCAAACTTGCTTCCTTACCTAAAAAAACTCCGTCTGCAAATGGGCAATATTGAGCCAATATTACAGCAGGATAACGCCTATATACATGCTTCGAAGCTCACTAAGGGGTTCCTCAAGGCAAACAGCGTTACAGCTATGGAGTGGCTCGCAAAAAAGCTCTGATTTCAACATCATTGAGAGCGTATGGGGACTTCTGGCCGGTCGGGTGTATGCAAATGAACATCAGTTTGACAGCCGTGTCGAATTGAAGGCTTGCATCAAGGTGGAGTGGGCACGTCTCGAGTCCGACTATATCAAGAAGCTTGTCAAGGGCATGCCGAAGCGTTTGCACCTGGCGATGGCGCTGAAAGGTGCCACAATTACATTACTAGTGAGCAACTACAAAGTGCGCCTGTAGTTTTGACCCGACGGCATAGCGTTATATTTTTAAAAGTGAAAAAGTGATTGCTGTTTGCCCAGCCAGACTTTCAGGGTCGTCCTTCCAATGATTTTCACGACGCTTAACCATTAGTTCTAAACAAAAATCATTATACCTGGAGAGAAATCGAAATTACTGAGTGCGCATATAGTTTTGGCGTACACTGTACATCTAATACAACCCACCAGGCGGCTGGTGTGGTGCACATTCCTGATATTTTGTCAAACGCAAATCTGAATTGTTTGGAAATATCCCAAACTTTATAAGATCGCCCTCTTAGAAGCTTACTTCCGATGATATTGGCTTATAGCACGTGATGATACGTACATTCAAATTCGACCACATTTGACAGTTTTTTTCTTTCATAACGTTGTAAAACGCTGTCCAGCAAGACAGTGTTTTAAGGGATCCAGTTTGGTGAAACTACGACAGGATATCACGATATACGAGCTTACATTAGAAAAATTCATCTGTCACGTTATAAAACTAGGACTCAATAATTTAATTCGGCGCCGAGCGGCTGGTTTAGCATTTTTTACTTAGAACTTACAGAACTACAAAAAAATCTCAGACGATTTTAGAAATTCTTCGGTGGCCCACCAGTTGCTCACCAAGTGCTTGAAAGTCAGGTCTCGAAATCTATGAACAGTCCAGATACCGGTATTACCACTTTATTTACGTAGCATCCATACCATGTTTACGATCAGTGTGGGGCATGGCTACACCTCAAGTAGCTGACGCATTTCATACGTTTCACGGTGCTGCAGCGCTCCAAATACTCCGGTGGTTGCACCTAAGTAAAACAACCGACGCCGCAGCAAGTGACCAGCAAATTCTTGAGGTAGTGGAACTCCGCCCAGTCCAATGAGGCATTCGCTGGAAAACTTGGTCTCTGGGTGGTTGGACTTGTTCAATACTTGCCGTTCCTGTCGCGGAGTCATGAGTGCGGGAGCTGTGTTAAACATGTTGTTAGATCGCATTTTAGTAGCCATCTCGATTCCTTCTGGGTACGGATCCAACAGCGCCTTGCCGTTGACATACAGCATCTCTGCTTCGAGCCCACTATCGGGTAGATACTGTAAAATACAACCACACAGCGAGTCCGGATATTTTTCAGCGTCTTTATTCGGCGATGAAGACACCACACTGACACCCCAAGGGGAGAACGAGTACGGGACGTGCGCCATTTCGAACGATAGCCAAAAGGTTTCCTTGTCACCGAACGAATATCGGAATCGGAAGCGTTCTTTCGTGATAAACCACAGCATAATATCCATACCGTTTGCCCGGCGCGCTCCTTATCAATCAATACAAGCGACGAGTCCATTTCGTGGCACGTCTTACCGGTGTACGCGAAAGATTCCAACACGTGTTCTCACCCCCCGTGACGTTGAACTGGTCGTAGGGGAAGTTCGAGAACAGCTTCGGTAGGTACTTTCCGTCCCCGTCACCACCGTTAACGAACTCGGTGCAGTGAGAGTGTACTCGATCGTAGAAGAACGTCGTGCCTGTCTTGTTATATTCTTCCAGGTCGCGTAAGATTACAGGGTTCTTGATGACGATATCATTGACGTCCATCAAAATAACGTGGCGAACGTCGGTGTGGTACACAGCAAGCGGTTTGATCCACCAGTTCCTGAACTTGCCGGCCATTTTGTCGGTAATAACCTCGCGACTAGCGAGGTCCGAGCAAACATCCACAATTTCCAGTCGGTCGTCGACAGTGAAGAGTAGATCTATTGCGTCATCCGAAAGTTCTTCCGAACCGCAGTGGTACACCTGGATGAGCTCTTGATTACCTAGACATCGCAGCTCTCTAACGAGTGATACACCCAAGGCCAGGACCTCGTCATGCATACACAGAAGCACGGCTCGGTCTCTGCTGATGTCGAGGTCGAACTGTTTGCCACGCCGGTAGAACGACGAGTCCGGATGTGGCGTTCCGGAGACGTCGGTATTTTGTCGGAAGACAAACCGACGAAAAGCTCTTTTTCTACTGGTGTCCACGTAGCCGACCATGACTGCTACATGTACCATGATCACGACGGATAGAACGAGAAGGGGTAACAGCAGCAGCAACGGTCTCCGATACGGCGATGCAGGCGACACGGGTGCCTTATTGCCAGTCAAGGGCTGTGTCTCGATGTCGTGCAGGGCGTCATCAATCTCAGTGTGGCGCGGAGTAGGCGCAGCACCTGGAGGGGCCCCCGAAATTAGCATTGTCAATAGCATAATTTCCGAAAAATAACAATAAATTATTTATTTCGGCTAGGACGCATCGCTCACTACAGAGGTTGAGCTCGCTGTACTGTACTCTACCACAACCATAAGCTGATGTCATACTCATAAAATTTAAGTGCTTGGATACAGGTTTGTTCACAAGCGGAAGACTCTATTGATACGCAGACACATGTACGCTTTACATTTAATCTACCGTTATGCTGTATGCTCAACGTTAGATTGCTCTTGCAATCGACGCACTTGGAACGTGTCACAATGTTCCAACGAGCCGAGCACGCCGGTCACGATGCCTAAATAGTGGAGACGACGACGTAACAGCATTCCTGCAAATGAGGCAGGCAACGGTGTTGCCCCCAGACCGATAAGGCACTCGGTGTACATTTTCCCATGACCAGTTGTGTTTAGTTCCGTGCGTGGCAGACGTGGCGTCATGTGAGTCGGGAATGTGTTGAACATGTTGTTCCATTGGGCCTTGGGTACGTAGTCGATACCCTGCGGATACGGGTCAAGCAACGCCTTGCCGTTTACATACAACATCTCGGGTTCTTCGGATGCAACAGGCATGTACTGTAAGATACTACCACAGAGCGAGTCTGGGTGCTTGGTCATATCTTTGTTAGGCGTCGAAGAAACCACACTCACACCCCACGGAGAAAAGGAGTACGGTACATGCGCCAACTCAAAGGACAGCCAAAAGGTCTCTTTATCTCCATGAGAATATCTAAAGCGGAAACGCTCCTTCGTGATGAACCAGAGCATGACGTCGAGCACGGTTTGGCCCACGCGCTTCTTGTCGATTAGCACTAAGGAAGAGTCCATTTCGTGACACGTTTTGCCTCGGTATGCGAATGAATTCAACACTTGTTCCGAAGGATCCTCGCCTTCCGAAATGTTAAACTTGTTGTAGTTGAACGTTCGGAACAGCTTTGGCAAATATTTCTCCTTATCGTCAACATCATTGACAAATTCCTTGCAGTCGGCGAATACACGGTCGTAGAAGAACGTCGTTCCCGTTTGTGTATATACGTCCGCCTCTCGTAGAGCAGCTGGGTTTTTCATCATAATATCGTCCACGTCCATCAGCATCACATGCCGCACGTCCGTGTGGTACATCGCCAATGGTTTAACCCACCAATTCTTAAATTTCTTGGCAGTTTCCTGAGTGAGAATCTGTCTCGCCACAAAATCCGAACACACGTCGACCAGTTCAATTCGGTTGTCGGAAGAGAAGAGGATGTCTCTCGATTTGACAGATAATTCGTCCTGGCCGCAGTGATATATTTGGATCAGCTCCTCGTTGCCTAGACATCTCAACTCCCGAATGAGTGACAACCCCATTGCCAACACACCGTTGTGCATGCAGAGCATGATGGCGCGATCGCGCATGACGCTGCGGTCGAACCGTTCGCCGCGTTGGTAGTAGGGCGATTCGGGGTGAGGGATCACGATGTCGCCGTCTTCCGGTACACCTCCACTGCCGTCACTATGGAGAAACGTCTTGAGCGGACTTACTGTGGACGACTCGAAGGTGGCGAAGTTTTTGCTGTTGCTATCGGTGAGATATCCCGTCGCCAGTGCGACTGTCGTCATACCAGCGACTACCAGCAGTAGTAGAAAGATCAACAGCTTGCGATGGCTGCGCGGCGGCGTCGCGACGACTCGGCTGCCGTTGAGGGGCATTGTGACCTCCATGTCGCCTTCAAAGAAAACGTCGTCGCTAGCTTCCGCTGCGCTGGACATCTCCAAATATCCGGAATGACTGGAGTCTCACTTATTCCACAGAAATTACAGAGGTTCGAGCGGCGAGAGTTTACACGTACGCCAGAGTTTATTGATACGGAAGGATAGATTGTGTTGGAGCGGTAAGAGCGGTAAGAGACAATTAAAGGTCCTAATTTTAGAGTTTCATTTATAGGTACACGTAAGTCATGCCAGGCGACCCAAGACTCTTGGGCCAAGAGACCACATTCTGTCAGAAGTTTCGAGCACACATACCTAAGTACACGAATTAATAATATTAAGAAAATCTGTGGCCAGGCGACGGAAATGCACCTTGCTGCTGGCCCCGACACCACGACGCCCAAAATGTGATCCAGATTCACATTCCGGTTCCGGCATCTTCCTTGCGCGCGATGAGTTAAAATTTGTGGATAGGAGCCTAGCACGAAATAATGGTTTCCGATTTGCTAAAGATGTAAGATGTCGCCCGGTATAGTATACCGTATACCCTAATAGAGGCCTGAGCATATGCAAGCGCAACACAGGACGTGCTGGTTCATCATGAACTTTATTATTGCGTGTGCGAGCACGTTGTAATCTCTAAGTACCCACCAAGTCACTAGTTAAGAGTTTAAAGCATGCCCTCGAACGGGAAGCATTGGTCGAGGGCAGACAGCACGCCCATGCGGATGCCGAAGTAAAACATGCGTCGTCGCAACAACTGGGATGCAAACTTGTCTGGTAGCGGCTCGGCGCCGAACCCCACGAGGCATTCCATGGCGTAGCCGCCTTTCCAGCCCGAGCGTGTCCGCCCGTTCGGCTTGCGTCGTTGGCGGGGCGTAATGTGCGTCGGGTTGGTGTTGAATAGCACGTTGTGTGTGGCAGACCCCAGTTTGTCCATCGTCACGGGGAACGGATTCAGCATCGCCTTACCGTTCACATACAGAAACTTGGACGGCTGGTTCTCCACGGGTACATACTGCACGATACTACCGCACAGTGTGTCGCTGTGGTTCTCCAGATCGTTATTTGTAGACGATGAGATACCGCCAACGCCCCATGGAGAGAAGAAATACTCTTGTCTAGCCAGTTCATACGCAATCCAAAAAGTCTCCTTGTCACCGTAGGAGAACTCCCGCCGGAATCGCTCCTCTGTGATAAGCCAGAGCATGATCGGCATGGCTTGACCAGAGCGAGACTTGTCAATTACGACGAGTGACGAGTCTTGCTCGTGAGATGACATGCCTCGATACGCATACGATCTCTTGAGCCCTTTCGATGGCTGAGCTCCAGATCCGAGTCCGTACTTTGCGTAGTCGAAGTCGTTTAGCATTCGCTTGAGGTAAGAGGTACCGTTCACGTCTTGGTTAAAGAATTCGCGGCTAAACAGCACGCGGTCATAGAAAAACGTTGTGCCTGTCTTATTGTAGCCCTCTGTCGTACGTAGCACTGCCGGGTCGTGCATGAACACATCGTCGATGTCTAGCAGCATCACTTCGGTAATGTCGGTATGATACATGGCCAGTGGCTTGACCCACCAGCTACGGAATTCCTCCGCTACTTTCTGCGTCAGCACCTTCCTCTCCACAAGGTCGGTGCACACATCGATGATCTCTAAACGGGTGTCAGCGTCTAGTAGCAGTGCGCGGTTCTCGTCCGACATCTCTTGTGGAAAGCAGTGGTAGATCTGAACGAGTTCCTGGTTGCCAAGACAGCGCAACTCGCGCACGAGTGACAGACCCATGGGGACTGCATCGTTGTGCATACACATGATGATGCCCTTGTCACGCTTGACACTCGAGTCGAACTTGGTACCCTGCTGACTTGACGATGGTTTGTGGGTCGCTATGTCCACGGTTGGTAGATCGTCATGAATGATAATTCGCTGTGGTTCCACGTCGAGTTTCTTGGCTGGACGTTGCTGCACTTGTACCGGTGACGGCGTGACGGCGTACATGATGACGATCACTAGGAAAAAGGCCATCGCATACGTCCATGTGCGACTCGAGCGACGTGAGGTGGTGGGTGAACGCACAGGTCGACCAGCCTCCATTGCATCGACGTTAGAGCTTACGTTGTTGCTGCCACCACCGCGACTTACTAAAGTGCTGGAATCGTACATGGTCTACTGAAGTCTCACGTGTGTTCACCTGAGCCACTGGCTCAGCCAGGTAGAGGAGGAATGACGTATATGCTTGTCTTATCCCAGATGTTGTGGACAGGGGTCTTATCAAGGCAAGAGATATTAGTTTAGAGAGAATATAATTGATCTCCGATGCCTTTTAATTGTAGAATTTTTATTTATAATTCGCATGTAGTAAAAGTACAATACAGACAATCCTTTCAGTAATCCCTAGCCCTGGAATACACCTCTCAATTCATGTACCGGTACCAATAAATATGGCGAAGAAATGACGCGGAAAGTGTGGTTTCAGCTAGGTATAATTCCGCAATTGAAACTTTTGGCAATGACCCGAGCGACCGCAAAAAAAGTGGACCAAGGGGTATTTATTTTTTCACATATCTATTTCTAGTCGATCCAAAAGTCGTTCTGGTGCTGCCATTTCTGCTTCGGTGAGCTCATGAGCGATCGGCAACCTTTCGCAGCAGCTCCAACTTCTCCTGATCAGAGCATCCCTGCGTGCAACCAGACTGAATCCATCGAGGGGATGATCAGCGACAGTCGTGTCGATGAAGACGGTAGAACGCGGCGTCGAACAGGAGGTTCCGGGGGATCGGCTCAGACGATACCAAGTCGCCGTCGAGAGGTATCACGTAAGCTGTCACCTATAGATCGTGCTCGAGGCACCATCTATAGGTGACAGCTTACGTGATAGCTCTAGTGCGAGGCACTGGGCGAAGACACTGTCCGTCAGCTGCAACAAAATTACCGATCCTTGGATTCGTCATGGGGAGTGTCACTAAGCGGAAGACAGCCCCCTGAGCACAGCCTCCAGCTAAGAAACCTGTTTGGTGGCACCTTCGAATACACCTATACTCTCCTTATTCAAACCAAAAGGTAAGTGAGTAGCTTCGTTTATTAGCCCCGTTTTAAAAAGTATGTTTTAAAAGGGTTGTGAGAGCTGGGTCATTATGGTGACCCGGGTCACCGCCAAATGCTTCAATTGCAAGAAAGCGACGATTGACGTGCACAGCTGTCGACAGCAATATCGCTGTGATTGGAAAGAAGAAATGGCGCGGAGATGCAGAAGCTCGTGGTGCGTGCGCGGGAGTCACGGCAAGTTCGTTGCGGTTGCCTGAAAATCTTCGCAAGGCAGTCTTGCACGAAGTCAAGCCTATTTTACCCTCAAATGGGATCGCAGACAGCCTACACATGTACGCCAACACAGCATCATACAGCGCGAAAAAGCCATGCTCCGAGCGAGAATCGATGAATGTGCTGACGTATACGCTCCTCTAGCTCACTCTAGTGCACTCTCAGTCTTTAGTCCAGTCTAATTTTTCAATTCACGCTTCAATCCTTCTCTACGACAGCAGGTTAACATCCGCATTGACACTCCCAAATGCATGGCAAACTTAGGAGGCAGAGAACCGAACCCAGAACCCCCTACCTCCATGAAGCACAGTACAAGCTGGTGAAAATCGAAAACTTCACCGGTGAAGTAAAAAAAAGGTTTCCTCGACGCTGGTACCGGCAACTGGATCTAGCTCCTCTAGATCCAGATTCGACTTGGAGAAATGGTGAACGAGGCGGCTTGGCCCGACAGCATCAAGATGATGGTTGTGGCTGCACATGGGGGGAGGGGGTTGCTGCATCGAAGCGATTCATACGACGGTTCGGCGTGCTTCAAGTCGTGTCTTTTGATGCCTTATGCATCGCAATTCGCGAGCAATTCCGCTTCCCGCTTGATCGCCTCAAGATCAGCTCCGCCTTAGACAGACCCATCAAGAAGTCCAACGAGGCCTACGCCGAGTTTGCCCATCGATTAAGTACTATATTTGCTACGATGAATGACGGAGAAGAAACCACGCGACTGCAGAAGACACGCTTTCCATGTTCATCAAGAATGCGTGACCACAGAAGCGTGCTTCTCGACTTGGTTCATCCAAATGCAGTCGGATAATCCCTGGCACGAAATGGAAGGGTCCGTGAAGTACCGCGCAAAAAATTGCTGACCATGATGGGACTGGACAACTGTCCAGCGCGTCTCATTTCTTTGCGAGATAAAACGGGAAAAATGAAGCGAAATCACCGCATTTCTTCTGAGCTCAGTGATCGTCGGTCCGCGACGCGACTACTCAAACGCCGTGTGGCATCTGTCAGCGTTAAGGCCACACCACGGAATACCACGACAAGTGGACCGCTAGACAAGACGCCGTGGTGCAAGACGTATCGCGACAGCAATCACGAAAATAGGGAAGATGGGCACTCACAGCAATCTCTGGAACCGGCCGCCGCGGAGCCCGTAGAGGAACACGGCTGGGAGGATCATGAATGAAGGCCACGGGAAGTGCTGGGCGAGAGCGCTTCATACCCAACCCAGGTATACCCAGTGGTGCCCCTGTGGCCGACTCAGGTGCGTATGTCCACATGGGAAGCCGCACTGATATCGAGCCGTGCGCCGAACATGTCATCCAGGTGGCGGACGAGCGCACACTAATTGCAACCAGATACGGCAGCCTGTGATTGGACAGCGGCACCGGCCTCCACGATGTCTTAGTTGTACCAGGAATAACCCGCACACTCATCTCTGCGGCGGCATTCTTCGAGGACGGCATGCACGTAGGCTTCAGCGGGCACAAGTGTGAAGTATTCGGGAGAACACTCTTCTCTGAAGTGGTTCGAGGCGGAATCTACGAGCTGCAAGGATGCACCAGCCGGTTCAAATACACCAAAAATGACCTAAGGCACTGGTATCAACGACTCGTTCACCTAAACTACAATTCAATCCTGGAGCTGGAGAACTCGGGCAAGGTGAAGGGTCTAAAAATTGTTGGCCCTCACGTACTCAACGACAAGTGCGAGGCGTGTGCATTAAGCAAAATAACAAAGAAAAATACCCGATACAAGTTTAGAGAACGAGGGAAGGCTGGTGTAATCGTCGGACACGACACTGAGCGCAAAGGCTACTTCATCTACTTCAGCTCCGGTGGTCCAATCCAGCGGACGTGCGACGTCATTTTTATGCAAGCCTGCTCTATCATTGCTAAAGAAAATTCAACGGACGAGCCATGTGTCACTGAGATGGATTCGCGGGGAAGGTAAGTAGCCAAACCGATCGTGACAGTTCCTTTATTATGGGGAAGCCACCCCATGGGGCCTGATGTGACCGACACTCCTTCATCGGGAAGCCGACCCATGGGGCATGATGTGATCGTTGCTTCTACACGGGGAAGCTTGCTGTGACCCCCCCATCCGCAGACGGGCCTCAAAGAGCGCTTAAAGCTGGCAGCTAAAGCCCAGAAATGCGGATGGTCTGACTGACGTTTGTCGAGCAGATCAACGGAACCTCCGCACGAATTTCAAGTCGGCCTTTCGACCACGCTTTTGCTGTCCCGTGTTGCAGTCTTGTGTGAGATTATAAAATAAGTAATCCCCTTAGCCGAGGCGAGAAGATCTCGACACGGGATCATATGGGCGATCGCTATCAGGAAGGAGATCGAGTCGCTGCGAGCCAACAACACCTTCGACGTCATTACCCCCCCCCTCCCCCTCCCCCTCCCCGGATGATTCTCATGTCATTGGTAGCACGGTAACGTTCCGGGTGAGGCACGACGGAAATTGCAAGCCGACCGGCTCCGTTCTAGGCTCTGTGCTCAAGGTTTTACTTAAGTGTTTCTCGTCGACTATGGTGAAACCTACTCGCCCGTGGCCCGCTTAGTATCGATACGATTTCCTCGTCCTCGCCACGAGATTCGGACTTCTTGTGTGTCAATGTGATGCCCCGTCAGCGTACGTAAAGGCACCGCTAGATGCCGTGATCTACATGCGCCAGCTCCGCGGCTTCGACCAGGAATGATCTGGCGACTGAAGAAGGCACTATATGGCCCCAAGCAAGCTGGGAAGGAGTGGCATGACAAGATAAATGCGTTCTTCACTGATTATGGATTTAGTGCTACCCGCGAGGACGCATGTGTATATGACCTCCTCGACATCCCCGTGGTGGTTCTCCTTTACGTGGACGATATCCTTATTGAATACGCAGTCCCAGTTGCCATGTCAAAGCTAGTCGAGGCCCTGCGCGCCAAGTACGACGTGACGTATCTGGGAGACATCACTTGGTTCCTTGGTATGCGCAATAAGGTCGACAACGAGATCAACATCACAACAATCGACCAGTTCCCGTTTGCAACGAAGATTCTATACCGTTTTGTGATGAGATATTGCAAGCCATCTGCTCTCCCCCTAAATTCGGGCTGTTTCTTAGCTTTGGGCGACGAGAAGAACGAATTGGCGGACCATATTCCCTACCAAGTCGCCGTTGGCGATCTGCTGTATCTGAGTAACGTTTCTCGGCCGGCTGTGTCTGTCGCGGTCAAGCAAGTAGCTGTGCACGTGAACCGACCGACGGTCTACGCCATCAAGCAGATCTTGCGGGACGTTACAGGTGCCCTACGCATGACATTGGTCTACAAGCGAGACGAAAGAGCCGCGGCAGCTATGCTGCTCACCGACGCGGACCGGACAAATAACACCGAAAACAGAAACTCCATCAGCGGTTTTGTCGTGCGAGCGTACGGCTGCGCTGTCGCTTGGATAACTTGGCACCAGTGTGTAGTAGCAAAGTCATCATTATCTGCCGAGTTCATCGCAGCCTCGATCGAAATTGAAGAAGCCCGATGGACACGCATGCTGTTGTAGCCCCTATCTGGAAAAGCCGTCACCACCATCACTGCACACGCTGACATTAAATTCACAATATTCCGGATCGTGGACGGTAAAAAGCCAGCATGTTCTTCAATGAAGGATGCTTTCAAGCGAGGCAAAGTGGTCATCACCAGGGACGGAATCAGCACTAAATTCTGGGGGGGGCGAAAAAAATACATGTTTTTGGCTTCAATTATCACAGCGCAATCCTTCGCTCTGTCATCCTACTAAACGCGTCAATAATTCCTTCTTTGTCGATGGAATCGATGAGGTCTTGCTCGATGGCGAGAGAAAGCAAATCCGACAGCATATCGTGAGCAAGTGTAATTCTTAGACGTGTTTTTACTCTTTTCATCACTGAAAAAGACCGCTCAGTGCCCGCAGTTGACACGGGTAGAACACACTCTAGCCATATGAGTCTGTAAAGTGTTGGGAAGATTGCATGCATGTCGAACTCAGCCATTGCGACGCTTAGATCTTCAGTCGTATTCAAGCAAGTCAATCGGCTATCTTTTTACCAAGTTGTCCGAATCGGCTCCGATTGGACCTCAAGATCTCCAATTGGTTTGAAAAATCATAATAGTAGTACTCTTTAGTAATTTGAGTAATGTCATCTTCCTTCCAACGTTTGAAAGAGTATTTAGGGCTTGTACTACCACACAAGTCCACCATCAATTAAATCATACTTATACCGAAACGTGACTGCGGCTCTTGAATAATATTGGTTAGAATAGCTTCATAGACATCCTTGTGATAATGACTTTCGTGGGTAGCGTGTGACTGAGTGGGTACGTCGGCTCCAGGTACACCGGTATCGTCCTCCCCGCCTCACCCACTGTGCGTGTTTATCAGGTACTAAAGATTTTGCACCTTCGGAGACCAAAGCTTCACAAAATTTCTCTGCTTCTCTCTTTCCCAAATTGCATTAAAACTGGCAGGATCGTTGTCATGAAGAGCGTTATCACGATTTTAATAAATTTAAGAGTAATTATCATACAACTGCCGAATATGAAACATATTGGGTGGGCGATCCGTTGGATCCGCTCTAATGAAGTCGACAACACTGCAATCCTCCGTACTTTCAGCAACACCACTACTTGTGCACCAGACCAAGCCATTGGTTTTGGCTCGATCGGCGACAGTAGTTAGAGTAGGATCTGGTGGCTTGCTAAGAGAGCCAGAAGGACGGGGTTTCTTCGCGAAGAATGTTGTTATTGACGTAGCTACCTGTTCTTTAGCCATAGTCACGAGCCGATAACGGTTTAGCACTGACGAGGCGCAGGGAAAGTCTGCGATTGAATCGATTCAAAAAACCTCTGCAAACATCTGCCCCCCCCGTCTTGTATGAAGATCCGCCCCTGGTCATCACTTACTGTTCTACTGAGGAATTGGCTGCTGACTTCTTGTGAAAGGCACTAAATCGGCTGCGATTCAACAGGATGCTAGAGCTCATTGTTCTGCAAGTTACCAAGAAGTAGGCCGTGTTGGTGCACATGCTGCGGGGAAGAGTTGACGTATACGCGCCTTTAGTTCGACATATCAGTCTTAAGTCCAGTCTAATTTATCAATCCACTCCTCAATCTTCCTCCACGACTGCATAATGCGCTTGACATACAGGCTAATCTCATCGTCGAAGTGGGCTTTCGCAACCGCAATGCTCTGTCTTCGAGATCCCACAAGTGGACGGGGCAGTGACATCGCGCTCTCAGCTTATCAGGCAGGATGAAGCTCAACTGATTGAATTGTTAGCATCTCACATCGATAATACCGGAATCGGTCGTCCCGGTCAGACATTGATTCTCTGTCGGCGACCTGCTCTGGTGAAACAGTGGCATGACATGAACAGATGCTCAATTCGGACGTATGCACTTCCTTGGATCGGTGGTTCTTCCTGAACGGGAACGTCGTGTACAGCTCTCACTTTCGCATGTGCACTTGCTCGTGCGCACTGGGACGTATTGTGGATTTACTACTCACGTCTCGAATTTTACATCTTTCAGCTGCGTTGTCGACATGTTTCCGAAGCGCAGAGATGCTCTAGATGATATAGAGAAGCTGCTAGAAGCAAAGTACTTTGTAGCAGGTGGGAGCGCAAGATTAGTGTTTGATGTTACGCTCGAACAAGTCATCCAAATTCTGGACGGTGCGATCGATGCGCCTGACGTTTAAATGTATCTTTAGAGCCGTGTTGGTGATGCTTCATCTACTACCGCCAACTGCTTGTTTACTTGGCATTTCAGCTCTGCAGGTCCGGATATTGTTTTGGTGAGCAGCTATGTTGTAAGGATATCTCCCGTTATAGAGGTCTCTCGTCTGCTGGCTAATTTTGCCAAAGCTTGCGCTGTGAGTCCATCCATGGGCGGATTTTTTCTGGAAGTCTCTTTTATTGCAGAGCTGAAACACAAAGGTCTTGATTGGAGGTATTGGGCCGAGTCAATTTTAAAACGTGAGCGTTGGAAACAAGCAAACATCGTCTTCTTTGATCCCGATATTTATAGAATTGGGGGTTATCTGGATGATCTCACATGGACGGCCTCAGTTAAGTGGAATGGGGGCGGGTATGAAGCTGTTTTTAGGAATAAAAAAAGAAAAGCTGGTGCGTGTTGTTCGAGTGAGACACGCAAAGGAAAATAGGTTCGATTCCATCTACTCCGTCGCGCTCTCGAACAAGCTTGCAGCAGGCGCCCTAAACCAGATTGCAAAGACCGAGCTGTATTTGTTGTCCCAATAACTAGACTGAAAACGCTCGTCCAGTGAGTACATACAATTTTATGAGGAGCGTTGTGCAAGCTGTTTCGTCGTATAGAACTTGGAGGTGAGATGATAAAACGTTCCAGATCTGCAATGCAGAGGTCACAGTCATTGGAGTCAGCAACGAACTTACCACCACATAGTCCAGTCGAAGGACCAAGGTTTGCTAGAGGCGGAGACATGCTTGGAAATTCCCCAGGCCGCCAGTCTGACATGCCGATTTACGCTTAGTCTGCGTCAAACGTGACCAAATGTGCGCTCTATTCGATTTTTTAAGAGGTTTTGTCAGCGAAGCGAAATCGTGAAACCACTCAATCGATTTACCGTTGTATTTACTGCAGGTCGATGCCGTAGGCAGCTTTTCACTCTTCTTCTTTCTTAATACTATGTTAATTTTCGATGATTAGACTCTCTTGCGATAGTAGCGGCACAGCAGTGACCTCTTCGGCAAATACACAGAAGCGAAGTTCGACCTCCAATCGTTAATCGTACATTGTAAAAAACTGAAAAGTCGATGGTGACTTGTCAGAGAATTTAGAGCTCGAATTTTAAAGAAGAGTGCTCAACCAAATCTGCTATTGTATAATAGCGTGTGAAGGAAGTGGCCTTTTTGGACCTAGTCTTTGCTTTGTGTATTATTATTTATTTTATTAATAAAAATAGAAACTATTTAAATATCATATTTTATTATTATTTCTAAATGTTGTGACCAATTCGTTAACCTAACCTCCTTTGCAAACATGGGTTGTATCAACAGCCTCTTTTGACCCATTTGAAAATAACCCAGTGTGGCCATGCGCCTTGCGTTGCTCTGGCCGCAGCGCTGCCGTCGGCCTTTCGCGAGGAGTTTTGCAGCAGCCCCCGTGAAGCCCGTGGATGATGCAGCTGCTGCACGTAGGCAGCACTCGATCTACTACGCGCGGTTCACTCGCAAGTTTCCGGCGCAACTTGGGCCTCTGTCCATGGAAGCGGTGGACCGAACAACTCGCTTTCTGACGAATCGAGGTTTGGACCAGACGCGAGCACTGCGAGCCATTTCTCGGCATATCATGGTATGCTTTTATTTAGTAAGTAATATATTAGATAAACTACTGACCTTCTGCTCTGGTGGACGCAGATCACCTGCTATTCGCAGAAAATGATGGACAGCAAGGTACAAATTGTTATACACAGAGTGCGCCGTGTAACTTTTTCTTATGAATAATTTTGCTTTGAATGGACAGATTGAGTGGCTGAGTAACTTGGGTCTTAGTCACAACAAGATTAACGACGTTCTTGCGCGCCACCCAGTCATTTTGGGGAGCTCTTTCGAGAAATTAGAAGCACTGATCCGGTGGTTTATTGCCCACGGCGTGCCAGAGAAAAAAGTAGGTGGATTTTTGCTTTTTTGGTTGGAGAATTTACACGACGAACTTACTGCGTAATTCCAGATGCCGTATTTGATCAACGTGTTCCCCGAAATAGCAGCTTTCAGCATAGCGACGCTGGACACTAAGGTTGATTTCCTTAAGGAAATTGGGTGTGATGATGATCAAATTGCACGCATATTGGCGATGGCACCGCGGGTACTTGGGTATAGTATTGAGAAGCTACAAGCCAATGTGGATTATCTGGAAGAACTGGGCGTTCCTTGTGAGTTTATCCCAGTCATCACAGCAAGAGTGCCTCAGTTCCTTGGCCTAAAGACTACTCGAATTAAGGAAACTGTGGATGCGGTGGACGTCATGTTTGGGGACGGGGCTGGTGTGGAGGCTTTACTTCGAAACTCGCGCATCGTCATGCACAATGTCAGCGGTATACGTCGTGCCTACAATTTTCTGCTGTCAGTCGGCTTCACCGTAGAGCGACTGAAGCAGTGCACGAGATTTGTGATGCGTAGTGAGAAATTTATCCTTCGTCCGCGTGCCAAGTTCCTGGAGACAAAGGGAGTGAACGTGGTTAGCAGCTCCTCGTGGATCTTGATGACAGAAAGCCACTTCATTGAAAAATATCCCGACTACGCAACATATTTGACTCAGTACAAGGCGCGACTGAAGAAGAAAAAGCAGGTATGATCTGATAGCGTTAACTTGCGTCTGATATCAAATTTCGATGCTCCACAAGGCACAAATTCTGCAACCGTGCACCGTGTCGGATCTCCCATAGAACAACGCACCAATTCAATACAAAAATTTCAATCTGAGTCGCATTCCCTTTAGCTTACCCTTTAAGCTTTACTACTGTAGTATTATCTTGAATCGGGATGTACTACATTTAAAACATCAAGATTATTCAGATTAAAAATATGTTTAATTTTTTTGTACAAGTGACAAAATCAACGATGACTTTGTGCAATATAGGCGTTGGCCCGCTGACAAGTCGTTGCGGGTAGTGGTAAATACAGTATAAAGGTTGCAGTAAAGGCTCAAATTTTGATTCCTTAGTCCGGGTTTTTCATAATAATAATAGCTTACCCTTTAAGCTTTACTACTGTAGTATTATCTTGAATCGGGATGTACTACATTTAAAACATCAAGATTATTCAGATTAAAAATATGTTTAATTTTTTTGTACAAGTGACAAAATCAACGATGACTTTGTGCAATATAGGCGTTGGCCCGCTGACAAGTCGTTGCGGGTAGTGGTAAATACAGTATAAAGGTTGCAGTAAAGGCTCAAATTTTGATTCCTTAGTCCGGGTTTTTCATAATAATTGTACAAGTATTCAACGTTTTGTTATTCGACTCACAACACTGAACATATAAAACGCGTCTTGATCATCCACACGACATTGACTTGGACTCACGATAAGACACAGCTCCAGACCGGAGACACTTCCAAGTAGAGTTGTATTCAGGGCGCTGCGGTAAGGAGCGACGCGATCGAAGATAGCTTGGGTTTCCCATTGCGTACCTAAAAAAAGCTGAAAGTTACCCTTGAGATTTATAATATTGCTGTTTCTTGGCGCGAGTAAGTCTTGTAAAACTTCGTACTATTGAGCTTACAACTAACTGGCAAGCTTCGTTTAATGAAGCTTGCCAGTTAGTTGGATAAATTTTATCCTTTTCTGACATATTTAAAGTACTAGCCGAGCACCGTCGCTACGCGGCGGTAGTTTAGGTTTAGTTATACTGTACTTGCTTTGGCCTTCCCACCTCCGCTACGCTTCGGCGGGATGACTATTGAAAAAACCGCTGAACCTAAATCGATTTTTCTTAATTTCATTAATTTGGGTCAGCATCGTGTTTAAAAAATAATTATTCTAATGATTTTGAATCGAGATTCTTGATCCAATCTCTTTTCTTATTGCTGCTATCACTGTATCTTCATCTTCCACCCAAAACCACCAGCCCTTCAAATAATATATATACAAACGCTACACAATATGTTTATTTCAGCGTCGTGCTCGATATCACGGGCCGTTCCCGAGCCGCTATGAAACTTAGCTCACACGATAGTAATGGTTTGTCCAGCTTTTTATCACTACCCACTTAAACTGCCTATCACAGTTTGTAACCGCCTTACTAATAAGGCCGTGTTTATTAGTACCTAAAGATTGTTCACTTCTCATATCAAACTCAATGAAAGCTAAGAAATATTCAAATTGTACTATAGTAACTAAAGATTGTTTACTTCTCATATCAAACGCAATGAAAGCTAAGAAATATTCAAATTTGTACTATATTTGATGTACCGGTATGTAGCGTTCATTTTGTGCTGATTCAATATAAGCACTCGAATCTGTGCCAGTTATGATTGAAGTATTTGAACACTGTGTCGCAAGACTGTTCTGTTGACAGTAATGTCTTCTTTTTGATAATTTAGCGATGATTCCAGGATTATTGGACCTCCAAGTTTATATACGTTTCTTTATGGGGTCTACAACTATAATTAACACCTCTCGTGTTTTGTTGTAGTCTTACCGCTCCATTTAAAATCGTATGCCCTTGTCGGCGACACGTCCACCCGTTATGTATTATGGTATTGGATTTTGCTGTCTAAACAATACAGCAGTAGCACGTATAAGTTATTTTTGCTCAATCTAAACTATCTACTTAGCCAACTATAATTGGCACCTCTCATGTTTTGTTGCTGTCTTGCCGCTCCATTTAAAACCGTACCCTACGCCACTGTCGGCGACACGTCCGCCAGTTAAATAGTATCCGATTTTGCTGTCTAAACAACTCTTTGAAAACAATGGCTTACAACAGTAACACATAAGGGTTCATCTAAATCTATCTATCTATATAAATCAAGTGACAACGTTTATTAGCACAGCGTTGTTCTTACGGTCAGCTTCTGTTGTACATTTACTACTTTTGGCAGCTCAGTCGGTTACATCACTCTCAGATAATTTATTAATATTTCTTCACAAAAAACAGCTGTAGAATAAAAATCATTGTAGCTTGCAGGGGAAAACTAAGGAGGGCCCTCCAGCTGGGAGGGCCCTCACAAAAAAAAGTACTTGTTGCAAAAAATAGAACGAACCGTCGGCAACGGTAAATCGGTTTTTGTGGCGTTGCCGACGTAAAAGACAGCATCATTACAAATCCCATTTCACAACGTTTAGATTTTATAAATAAAATATTGTAACTTGTAGACAAGAAACCACCACAGTGTGTTCTTTCATTCCACAATCAGAGCTGTCTTCATTCCACAAACTCTTGAGAGAACACCCTACGCAATGTCGGAGCAACGTTTTCACATTGACCCTCCTGCGGAAAAAACCTATCCAAACCATGATGTCGCTGAAGCCGCGCTTCATGCGTGGACAAGATCAAATGGCTTCAACGTATCGCGAAGGCGTATACATAAAAATGACAACGGCGACATTTGCATCCGAAATTACGAATGCGATCGTGCGGGCAAACCGAAGTGTACTCAAAAACTTGCTGCCGAAGACAGGGTTCGAATTAACCGCGGGTCGAAGCGGTGTGGCTTTCCAATGCGGATTTCGTTGAGGGCTATCAACAAAAACGCACCTGCAGGGGAATGGGCCATCGTCTACACCGGTAATGGTAGCGCCGTTCACAACCACAAGCCGTCCATGGACGCTCGTATCCATGCCGTTCACAGATCCAGATCTGCTCAAAATATCATTGCTAATTCTGAGCGCTCGGTTCACAGTATAATTGAGGCCCAATCTGCTGCTGGTCCAGAAAACATAAAAACAGAAGATAAGTGCGGATACATTTTGTTCGTCTATCATTTTCGCGCAGAGGGTTCCAGCACAACAGCAGATTTTGAAGTGTTTCTCAGTCGTTACTTTGCGGATTACAACAAACAGTACCTTAAAAGAACCGTAATGGTGTTTTCCTGATTGGATATAGAGCCCAAATTCATTGCTTTTGATTTGACAAAAATCGGCTCGAAATCGAGTTTTCGTCTATCATTTCCGCGCGCACTGTACCTGTAGCCAACATTTACGCAACAATGTTGAATCAAGACCCCAACACTCTGATAGTTCTTAAGGATATCGCGAACGCCAAGGACTCAGCTCGTCGTCGAGTTCTCGCTTCCGCTACGCCTATGGAGGCTCTCTTCAACCAGCTCAACCAAGATAAGTTCTTTTTTTGACACAACACACCTCGAAACGCAACGTCTTAAATATCTTCTGTGGGCTCATCCTGCTACCGCAAGTCTTTACAAGGTTAGCTCCGACATTTTGGTGATGGATTGCACGCACAAGACTAATATGTTCGATCTTCCGCTTCTCAATGTCGTCTCACTTACTGGAATGGACACTGTAAACCCTGTGTGTCAAGCCTGGCTTCCAGGCGAGAAGAAACAAGACTACACTTGGGCGCTGAACATGTTACGGCTACTGATATTGGAGTATGGCGTCCCAGAGCCGAGAATTATTTCGCATGATAGAGACCAAGCGTTAATGAATACTCTGGCACTCGTTTTCCCCTGAGATACCGACAATTCTGTGTCGATGGCACATGAACAAGAACGTACTGAGTTAAGTAAGAGAAGTGCTGGGCAAGGTGGCTGTCCAAAACCCTGCTCCTGGTCAATCCAAGTACTCGAATTCTTTGGCCACAGACAAATTTATGGCGCTGTTTTACCGCACAGTCGATTCGGAGACGGAAGAGGATTTGAGATCAAACAGGGCCGCTCTAGCTGAATCTAACGCCCAACTTGCCGCATATCTTTCGGAGCACTGGTGGAAGTACGAAGACAAGATCGTTAAGGTCCGAACTAATCGGCTCATGCACTTTGGTGTTCGAGATACGTCAACTGTCGAGAAGGCTCATGCACAATGCAAACGCTGGATCAAGTCGACCTGTGGCGACATTTACTGTTTATAACAAGTTACTTTTATGGTGGATATCGTCTGCGAGCAGGACGCGCGAGTGTTTGAGCCGCAACGAAACGATAGTGCCGTACCGACTGCAATTGAATGAGTTCGCCGCGTGTGTGAAGATTATAACCAATTGGGTCCTGTATAAGACTGACGAGCATTGGAATCAAGCTCGAAAAAGTATCGTGCAAAGCGAAGCTCTCCCTGATTGCAGTGGTATCTTCCGCGCTACTCACGGGATGCCGTGTGTACACGAACTCAAAGCAATCATAGAGTCGGAGGGGCGGCTACATCTCATGCCTTATCATTGCGACAAGCATTGGTGGATTCAACAAGTCCCGGAACAGGGGCATATAGCTTTTGCTCGCATCCTTGATCCCCTACCTGCCAGGGCCAAGGGCAGTAGGAAACCCAGAGAGATCACACACAAGCGGAACCACGGAGCTAACGGCACAGCAAGAGAGCTGGTCCATTTCGAACGTGTGGAGATTAATAATACTGACCTGACAGCGTCCCAACCAACACAACCCAATCCCTCCCTATTTGGAACACAAACTTTGGATAAAGTTCACGAATCTGGTCAGCAGAATTCTGCAGCGGCTACTGTGCCCTACCATCATCACCACACACCAGCCAGAAGTTTGGGATATGCTGGTATAAGCCCATACAAGTAATGCCTAAGACGACGTAGCAGATTTAAAAAAAAATATTTGCTTAGATCTTGCAAATCTCTTTTTATCTTAAAGTAAACTTCAGCATAAAAAATCTGATATGTGTATTTTAAATTTGGTTCGACTAATAAACATAGTCATTACATTTTAAAGTGTATTCATTAAAAATTATATATTTAGGACTTTCGAATATTACAAACATGTGAATGAAGAGAACTTTGGACTGCAAACACCCTGTCACAATTAAGGCAGAGGAACATCCCGCGGCGATTCTGTTTCTCCCTTTGTAGCTGCCTGAGGGCTTCTGCGTCAGGATTGTCAGTACAGAGATATCGATGCTACCGAATACGACCAGAATTGCTGTCTGTGTGTCCACAATACTGGCACACAAACAGTG